ATCCCTCCCCCAGAGGCAGCGAGGCCCTGGCCCAGGCTGCCCAGAGGCTGCGGGTGCCCTACGTCCCGTCTTGGGCAGGGGACAAGGGTGGCAGTTCATTATGCAAAAGCATCAGTGCTTCTGCGTGAGCTTTACCGGACAGCAGGCAATCATTTGCTCTGCAATAGGAACCAAGCAAGAACTATGAGCACATTTCCTCCCTCCTCTACTTGGAGTGGCTGTGGGGCTCCATGTGTCACACGGGGGGTAAACTTTGGGGACAGAGGTCACTGCAGCATCCTGGCCCCACAGCCCCTATGGCCCCATAACCACAACAGCCCCATCCCATATCCATCTCCCATAACTTTATCCCATCCCATATCCATCATATCCACCCCACAGCCATCTCAAATCCATATCCCCACATCCTATTCCTATCACCCCCCCCATATCCACATCCATCCTATGTCCATTCCATATACTTATCCCATCCCATATCCATATTTCATCCCCAATCCATCCCACATTCTTCCCATGTTGATCCCTTGTCCATCCCCAGCCCATCCCATGTATATTCCATTTTCTGATCTCTCATTCCATATTCATCCCATATCCGTATCCCACACCCCAATCCTATAGGGAAAACTGGGGGGGGGTTGGGAGGGGCTATGGGGGTGTATGTGGGGGTATAAGGTGGGCTACGGAAGGATGTGGGGCTAAATGGTCTGGATATAGGCCCAAATACAGAGACTATAGGGAGTTATAGGGGGAGATGGGGGAATATTGGTGAGATACAGGGTTATAACAAGGCTGTGAAGTGATACAGGGGATATGGGACTGACAGGGGTCTGGAGAAAGCTATGGGGAGGGATATAGGGGACTGGAGGAGGATATAAGAAAATACGCCACTATAAATGTCTGTAGGGCAAATGGGTGGGATAGAAAGGGCTATGGGGCGACAGGGAGCAGTGGGAAGGCTCTAAGTGTGATATGGAGAAACAGGCACAATACAGGTCTGTGGAGGGGTATAGGGGGGATATAGGGAGATATAAAGTTATTAAAGGCTGAGGGGAGCTCTAGGGGGCTTGCATAGGCTATAGTAAAATATAGGGTTGTATGGGGTGTACAATCAGTAAGTGTACAGAAGTGTCCAATCAATTGGAGTACAGAGTTTTAGGCTAAGTAAGATTATCGCAATAGAAAGATAATAAGTGGAAATCCTGAAGGCTCAAAGACTCGCGGGGAGTAATACAGATTGTGGTAGTGAGGGTCTGGCGCCCGGAAGATATCGCGTTGTACGGGAAGACAGGGTCCCCCTCCCGATAGCCAATAGCGTTCAGTGCCCAGGTTATATAAGGCTGTTTCTCCCGCCAATAAACGCCATTTGCCGTCCACCACATTGGTGTCAGCGAGCTGATGGACCGAGCGACCTGGGATTGGTCGCCGTGCCGTTCCCGAACCAGGTCGCCACGCCTACGATAGGCAACAACAGATGTTTCAGGGGCCACACAACACCTTAGAGCCAACTCCAAAGCAACCATCCAGCATTGGCTTACGGCCATGGCGTGGCTTGGCGTCCCTAGTCAGATTAAAACAGACAACGGTCCAAATTTTGTCTCTAAATCAGTCCAGGCATTTGTTCTGAAATGAGGCATAACCTTAACACACGGCATCCCATATAATAGCACAGGACAAGCCATAGTCGAACGAGCGAATCAAACGCTGAAGTCCAAATTGGAGGTATTGGCAAAAACAGAAGGTTTTGCCAATGTTGTTCCCCCAAGAGACCAAGCACGCCTGCTAGCAACCGCTCTTTTAGCACTCAATCAGTTCCCTAGGGGGGAAGAGACGAATAGCCCCACACAAAAACATTGGGCCACTCAAGCACTAGAAGAAGGCCCGTTAGTTGTAATTAAAAACGAGCTGGGAGAATGGGAACGAGGGTGGAGGCTAGTCCTGACAGGGCGAGGATATGCGGCAGTCAGAAAAGATGGTAAAGTTAAGTGGTGTCCACTTAAGTGTATTAAACTGGACCTTCACAACAAAACTAACGAGAACTGTGAGTTTCTGTCCACAGGACTGGATCATCGAATGCCCTTGTAACCTGTACGACCCGACGGTGAGAGAGGACGACAAGTTGACTAAACACCCTGATATCTACCTCAGCAGGACCAGTTGCGATGATCGTAATGACACTGATCTTCGGACCCTACATACTGAATAGACTTGTGTCATTTGTTAAGAGCCAATTAGAAGAGGCTGACATCACGTTGGTAGAGCACCAACAACTGTTATAAGAATGTTCTTGTTCAGAGCACCTTATGTTTTCTATTCGAGTTTTCTATTGAAGATTGTTCTATTTGAGTTTTCTATTGAAGATTGTTCTATTTGAGTTTTCTATTGGAGATTGTTATATATTGTTATATTTTACCTAATTTAATTGTGCATAGGGAGGGGGGATATGTGGTAGTGAG